GAGCCAGCTTCCAGGCCAATCAGGAAGCCTGGTGACGTACAATGACTCACCGCCCAGCTTCCTGATTGGCCAGAAAGCCGCCTCCAGGCTTCCTCGTCACTTGGTGACAAGGGAGCATGCAGACAGTTTCCCGGCTAATCAGGAAGCTGGGCGGTGAGTCATAACACGCCGCCTGGCTTCCTTAATGAGACTTCCGGTATCGGTATTCTGTATCGGCGAGTACCAAAAAAATATATCGTACTCGTACTCAATACTGAAGAACCATCCCAAGGTGCATCCCACATATACTGATATATATATATATATATATGTGTATATATATATATACTGTATGTATATACACACACACATATACATACAGTGTATGGCTGATTCTTGAATGAATGAAAAGTTTTTTCCAGTAGGGATTCACCGATACCGGTTTTTCTGTAAAGAGTACGAGAACAATTTTTTTCTTTCGGTACTCGCTGATACCGGTACTTCCACTAGCATGGAGCCAGCTTCCCGGCCAATCAGGAAGCATGTCGTTACCTGCCACCCGGCTTCTTGATTGCCCAGGTTGCCGACTCTTTGCTGTTTGGCCGCCTCGATGCTGATTGGCCAGGAAGCCGACTTCCCAGCCAATCAGCATGGAGCTGGCTGTTTGCTGTTGGCTGGGAAGCCAGCTCCATGCTGTTTGGCCAGCATGATGTGAGTCATTACTCACCGCCCAGCTTCCTGATTGGCTGGGGAGCCGCCCCCATGTTCCCTCACAGCATTGTATGTCAGAGGAAATCACCCTCTGATCGAAAGTTCTGGTATCGGCGGTAAGTACTGGAACATTTGAGCAAGTACGAGTACTCGCCCAAATACTCTGTATTGGCACCGATACCGATACTAGTATTGGTATTGGTGCATACCTACCTTCCAGTAATCTGTGCTTATAGAAAGACTTAGGACTAACATTTGAGGATTGTGTTTCTCTCATTAACTTCCTTAACATTTAAATGCAGAACCCAGACTTTTAAACTTTTTGTTAGGACAGGCAGTGTTCAGATCAACTTTACAAATGATAATGAAATCAGTTAGCACAATACAGATAGGGTGAAACCCCTCACCCCTCACAACCCCTCATTACAAAGAAGGAGAAGCAAGTAGAAATGTTAACCCTTAGGAAGCCAAGGTACCCTAACCCAAGTAATTTAAACTGCAAGAAGCAATTCATATTTTTTTTCTATTAATATGTGATGTGAATAGAAACATGTAACAAGTATAAAACAGGTGTTATCCAAATTTGGCTGTGAAAGTGGAAATACACTTTAAGTGTGCCCAAATGAAATGTATATGTATACAGTCATGGCCAAAACTATTGGCACCCCTGCATTTCTGTCAGATAATGCACCACTTCATGCAGAAAATGGTTGCAATTACAAATGTTTAGGCACTCTCATATTTATTTATTTTGTTTGTATTGGTAGAACACAAAAAAATGGAGAAAAAAAAGCCAAAACTGGCACCTTCTCCAAATTGCAAGAAATAATTGCATTTCAAGTTTTTGTGGAAAAGCATGGACAATCTCAAGGTTACCATTCCATCTCCAGAGATCTTAATGTTCCTGTGTCAAGAGGTTTACAGCCCATGGCACTGTAGCTAATCTCCCTGGATGTGGACAAAAGAGAACAATTGATCAAAGATTGCAACAAAGGATTGTTCGAATGGTGGATAAAGACCTTCCATCAACTTTCAGACAAATTCAAGTTGACCTTCAGGCACAGGGTACAACTGTGTCAGCTCGCACTATACGTCGCCATCTGAATTAAAAGGGACGCAGAAACCCAGAAACATAACTGGGTCAGAAACATAATTTTATGTTTCTGACCCAGAAACATAAAAAAGTCAGATTGGAGTTTGCCAAAACTTACCTGAGGAACTTTAAATCCTTTTGAAAAATTTGCTGTGGACAGACCAAACTAAATTACAGCTTTTTGGTAAAGCCCATCATTCTACTGTTTTCAGAAAAAGAAATGTGGCCTTTAAAAAAAAAAAATACAGTCCCTACAGTCAAACATGGTGGAGGTTCACTGATGCTTTGGGGTTGCTTTGCTGCTTTAGGCATTGGATGTCTTGACTGTGTGCATGACATTATTAAATCTGAAGACTACCAAAGAATTCTGGGGTGCAATGTAGGGTCCTGTGTCAGAAAGTTGGGTCTCCGTCAGAGCTCATGAGTCTTACAGCAGGACAATGACCCATGACCCAAAGCACATGTCAAAAAGAACTAAGGAATGGTTTCAGACAAAGCACTGGAGAGTACTGGACTGGCCAGCAATGAGTCCAGATCTGGATCTCATAGAACACCTGTGAGATCTCAAAACAGCAATTGGGAAAAGGAACCCTTCCAATCTGAGAGACCTGGAACAGTTGGCAAAAGAAGAGTGGTCCACAATTCCTGTACAGAGGTGTAAGAAACTAATTGATGGTTACAGGAAGCGATTGATTTCAGTTATCTTTTCCAAGGGCTGTGCTACCAAATATTAATTAAGGGTGCCAATAATATTATCCAGTCCATTTTTGGGGTATTGCGTGGAATGTGTCAGATTTTGGTGTGTCATACCAATACAAACAAAGGAAATAAACATGAGAATGACTAAACATTTATAATTGCAACAATTTTCCTGCGAGAAGTGGGGCAATGAGGGCATGCTGGGACTTGTAGTTCCCTAGCTGATATGTTATGACGCTGTATTCTACCTGAAAGTACTACAATGTCATTATAGAACTAAGAATAGAACATAAAATAAAACTTTTTTTTTTCTTCTAATACTCACCTGATTCCTGGATCCAACAAGTGCAGCCTCCCGTCTCCCACGCTGTTAGAAGTTGCATACAGCGTGTGCTGGTTACTACTTAAACCGGCGCGCGCTATGTGCAGCTTCTGGGAAGATACGCTATTAGCATAGCGATGAAGCCGGCTGCACATTTATCATCACTCCCGCTACGCTAATAGCGTATCTTCTTAGAAGCTGCACACTGCGCGCGCCGGACACATGTAGCACACAGAGACCCCTCTACATGTAGCACATAGAGACCTCCCACATGTAGCACACAGAGATGCCTGGTGCCATGATCTGTTTGCAATCGTGCACAAAACCAAGCGGATTGCCAGTCAGGAGTCGCCTAGGTGTGAACCTAGCCTTAGGCTGGAGATATTTTTGGAGCTATGCCAACTAAGCAAAAGATTAACTGTATATCATCAGCAGTTATATATTGGATTAAAGCTTGGTTATATGGTGAGGTATGTGTGGAAGGTGTTGTACATTTTATACCAGCCCATGAACTAGGGAAGCACTGATACCGATACTAGTATCGGTATCAGTGTCGATGCCAAGTATTTGGGCGAGTACTCGCCCAAATGCTCCAATGCCTAGCCCGATACTTCTGATATCAGGAAGCCGGGCAGCGAGTCATTACACACTGCCCGGCTTCCTGATTGGCCGGGAAGCCAGCTCCATGCTCCCTCGTCACTTGTGTAATGACTCGCTGCCTGGATTCCTGTTTGGTCGGGAAGCTGGCCAATCAGGAAGACAGGCACCGTGTCAATACACAGCACCCTGCTTTCTGATTGGCCAGGAAGCCGGCTTCATGCTCCCTCGTCACCTCATGACGAGGGAGCATGGAGCCAGCTTCCCGGCCAATCAGGAAGCCGGGCACCGCATCATTACATGGCGTCCGGATTCCTGATTGACCAGAAAGTCGGCTCCATGCTTTCTCGTCACCTAGTGACGAGAAGCATGGGGACGGATTCTCTGCTAATCAGGAAACCAGGTGGTGAGTTTGTACACACCGCCTGGCTTCCTTAATGGGACTTCCGGTATCGGTATTCGGTATTGGCAAGTACTGAAAAAAAAATATCAGTACTCATACGCGATACCAATATACCAGTATCAGTGCATCTCTACCATGAACATTATTTTATGGTTTTAGATATGTTTGTTAAGAAGGCATGACATTTTTATACTAATATGGTTCAAATCTTATATTGTCCCTTATGTTCTTTTGAAAGCTTTGAATTGTCTTTCTTGGTAGTTTACAAATATGTTGGGGTGATGGTATTTTCACGTTTTGGGGCATTCATTGATATCATATATTCATTTTTAATCTAATGGCATGTAATAAAGCTATTTTACTGTTAAGAATATGTAACTTGTTAAATGTCCATAGTCTGGGCACATATGCACTTTAAAGTGACATTAAACCCTCAGATTTTTTAACATAAAACAATACTGTAATGTGTGCCTTACTGTAATCCATGGTTGTTTCCCTTCTCTTTGCTGCTCTTCCTTTTAAATCTGTATCTGTTCTCATGCTGGGCAGAACTTCTGTTTTGCAGCAGACTGCCTTGTCTCTGGAATGGATACATGGTGTCTGTGTGAAGGTTCACAACCTGAGCCAGCACTGCAGGAAGAGGCACTCAGCTGCAAAGGGACGTTCTCCCCCAGCATGAGAAGAGATGAGGATTTAAAAGGAAGAGCAGCAAAGAGATGGGAAACTATCATGGATTACAGTAAGGCGCACATTACAGTATTGGTTTATGTTAAAACATCTGAGGGTTTAATGTCACTTTAAGCAGTATAAATGTCATTCAGCTAGGGCTTAGATTACTTAAAGTCTGGACAAATGGGACCATACCTACTTCCCACCCATTCTACACCAAGATACACCAATCCATTAGAGGTGTTGATCACACCCATTTGCATTCTGTCTTCAAGAAATATTCAATTTCACCATAATAAACATTAGAACATTCACTGGGTATGCTTTAATCACTGTTAAATTAACATAAATATTAACTTTTTGCTTTTACTGTTACATGGACTTGGAAATTGCTTTCAGGAAAGTCCTTCCATAAAGTGACAAAGACTATACTAGGTAGCAATATTTCTTTCAGATAGGGAAGGTTATATAATGTACAATTTTGTAAAGTAAACATTTGCACAAAGTTGACAGTAGCAGCAATGTGGTCACATGTGTGCTAAAGATGGGATCTTGCAGACAAAAGGAAACTCGCGACTGCAGCTATTGTCGTTCCAAGAGCGCAAAGCTGGTAATAGAAAAAAGAAAATAGTAAAACTTAAAAAATATTTAACATGAGCTAAAACTAAAATTGTAACTATGTATGTAGTCAGAAGAAACATAATACATATAAATATATATATATATACATATATATATATACTATATACTATATATGCAGTATATAGAATATATGTATATTCTATATACTGCATATATAGTTTACATTGCAGTTCATGTAAAACTGTTTTTTGCAACATGCATGCATAAATATGGAAAGGTTCTAGGAATATACCAACATTAAGCATAAATAAAATATATGATTGCATAGATACATTACCAATTGTGATGATGATGATGATGCTGATGATGTGATATAGATGTCTATAATTTATATATTGAATTATATTAAACATGTAGAGGGTATAGTAGGAATCAATTATACAGAGGACTTAAGCTGGTCATACACTGGTCAAAATATGAGCAGTATGTGGCCCTGCTGGCATCCCTTCAGTCGATTTTTCATTTTTAATCAACTTTTGTCATAGGAGCAGGACGGCAAATTCTTGGCCGAACAGTGACTGCAGCCGTGAAAGCTCATGAGACAAAAAAGTTTTAGGGGGTAGTTGAGGTGAGTACCAATACCTAAACCGGCAGTCATACAAGCTGCGCACTACTGTTTCTTCTGCCTAGAGGTTATTGGAGAGTAAATTAATCCTGAACAAGTAGAATAGATCCTATATCAAACAGTCTGGTCTGAATGTGTGACAAAGGATTATTGTTCGGATTTGAGGTTAAATAATAGTTTATAGCTCAGACTCCCAACTGAGAATCAGATCATGGTTTCCATGGAAAGAAGAACTCTGGAAATAGCACATAAGATTGGAAATGTCATAACTTTGATCAAATAATTTTTTGAATTGTGCATTATAAAAGTTCCTATCCTTTTTAAAGTGAACCTATCCATTCTCCAACTATTCAAACATAATGGTAACTTAATAGTCTGGCCCAATAGATGTTTCAAACAAACTCTCTAAAATGTGTAGCCTAAGCAGACTTTTTCTGTTACACAGTTGTAAAAATATCACACAATTCATAGTCATAGTTAATATTCATATTAATGTGAAGTGAGAATTTACATTTAATTGTCCTTAAGCCATGTATTATAGCTGGATGTATAGCTGGTTATTATACTGCCATCTTGCGGGCATTGTGGTTATTGCACCATGTTTTTCGGCATTCCCTCCCATCTATGATGTATTTCCCCCTTCTTCAAGAACTAGTGTTAGTGCCATGGCTGCCTATAGCAGGACCACATGTACATGCTAGCTCTGAAACATTATCATCCTTGACCTTCAAATACCATAATGTTATTTGAGACACACTAATAGAGGCCTGTGCAAACATGGAAGCGACCAAATTCCTTTGCTAGAAAAGAAACTCATTTAGAAGCTGGAGCAGAAGCTCAAAGCAGAGCTCTCCAAGCACAGATCAAGACTTGTGAAGCAGAAACGGACGTTTGCCAAGCAGAAATCAAAGCTCAAAAGAAAACCCTAATAAAGATTCTCCAAATGGAAAAGGAAGAAGCAGCTGCCCTAGCAAGGCTGAAAGTCCTTGAGCAAACAATGGGACAAAGTACTAATTCAGACTGTCTTATTCCTGCAGAACTGGAAGACCCAGTTGAACACTAATGTTTACAACGATACAGAGCCATCTTCTGTACCTCCAACAACACTGTTCTGACTCTCAACACAGAGACACCTCAGCTCCAAATCCACAATGCAAATGCATCTATGGAGCAAACCACATCACCTCTTGCTAACGACAATGTGACTTCCAGCGACAAGCCACAGTTCATGCTACAGCCAGCAGAAGCCTTAGAGACTACACCACAACTAAATGCTCTTGCAACATCATTTTATCCTGGTATACCTCACCTTTCTTCACCAGAGAACTTTCAAGGTGTTCCACAAGTTACTTTGGTGCCAAAGAGTGAGAGATCAGACCTGTATGACTACGCCAGATATATGATACGCCGTGAGCTCATTCACATTAGCTTCTCAATGTTTGACGATTTTCCAGGGAACTACAGGGCCTGGAGACCAACCTTCAAAGCTGCTATTGCTGATCTCAACCTTATGGCCAAGGAGGAACTTGATTTGCTCATAAAGTGGCTGGGACCAGAATCTATAGATCGTGTTAGAAGACTGAAGGCAGTAAATGTTGACTATCCAGATGCAGGTCTTGCTGCTGCATGGGCAAGACTTGAGCAAACATATGGCAGTTCTGAAACTATAGAAACTGCTCTATTCAAGAGACTGCTAAACTTTCCAAAAATAGGTAACAAAGATCATGGAAAGCTTCCAGAACTAAGTGACCTCCTCATGGAACTAAAGTTGGCAAAGCCAGACCCACGTCTACCTGGACTAAGCTTCCTGGACACCGCTCATTGTGTTAATCCAGTGGTGTTTAAACTGCCATACGGCCTGCAAGAGAAATGGGCATGACAGGGCTCAAGAGACTATAATGTATCTTTTCCTCCATTCTCATATCTTTACAGGTTTATCAGTGATCAAGCCCGGAACAGAAATGATCCCAGCTTCAGCTTCAGCAAACCCAACTTGCCTGCTTTATCATCATCAAGGTATGAAAACACAGCAGTTAAATGTAGAGAGTTTAATAGAGCAATATCTCTTAAAAGGACAGACATCTCATCACCGGTTTTCTCTCCTGCACATGAGAGTGATTTGGGTGATAGAGATAAAGACCCTAATCGTCAGTGCAGTAGTCACACAAAAACTCACCCTCTTAAGAAATGTTTTGGGCTTAGGTCAAAGACTTTATAAGAGCGCAGGGAGATTCTCCAGAAACTTGGAATATGTTACAGGTGCTGTGCTTCCTATGATCATTTTGCTAAAGACTGTAAAGTTGCCATCAAGTGCACAGAATGCAGTAGTGACAAACATGTTACAGCTACGCATCCTGGTCCACTTCTAGACAACCCCACAGCAACCACCTACATCTAGCCCTGTCTCAAATTATGGCGGGGAGCAACAAAGTCCTACACTGTACTGTAGTCAGTAGGGAGAGCCAGGGCCAACCACTTGCAACAGTCACATCAACATATAGTAAACTACATCACAAAAGACTTTGGAGAAAGACTCTTGCAAAAATATGTCTTGTCAAAATGTTTCGTCAAGGACAACCTGGAGAAGCAGTCAAGATGTATGCTGTTTTAGATGACCAAAGCAGTCATTCACTTGCCACTTCAGAATTCTTTGACTTAATTGGCATAAAGGGTAATGTGCTATCCTATACTTTGCACTAGGGATGTCCCGATACCGATGCTAGTACCGGTATCGAGGCCGATACAGGGCATTTTCAGGAGTACTTGTACTCCTGAAAATGCCCCGATGCCTAGATCAGATACCGGCCGTTTACATTTTTTTAACTAGCTTCGGCCATTGACCCCCATAGCCCCTCCCCGGAATACCTCTCCACCAAACGAGGCTCCCTCTCCGCTCTGACCTCTCCGGAAGTATGACAGCATGGCGGGGGTAAGTGTTGTGTGGACAGTCTCTTCTCCCTGCTGGTGCTGGCTGCAGAGCTCTGTGTCCCTTTCACAGACCGCTGTAGCCAGCACGAGAAGGCAGAAGAGACTGCGGCTGTGAGTTCCCCCGCAGCCCCCCTCCCCTTTGTATCTTAGCTGTTGATGCTCCTCCGTGTCCCGTCCTTTTCAACTTTATGAATCGGTTTCCTTTTGGTGATGTATCTCAGTGTGAGATGCCTGTGCTCATTGCTGCACAGCAGTTTTCACTCTCATTGTAAGAAGAGAATGTCCGTTCAGTGTGCTCACTGGGGAGATAAGCTGTAAATCTTGCCTTCACACAGAACGGACATTCTCTTCTTTCATTGAGAGGGAAAACTTCTGTGTGGGTCTGGTGAGAGCATTATTAAACACATAAGGAGCATGGACATCTTACAATGAGATATACCACCAAAAGCAAACAGTTTCATCAAGTGGAAAATGAATGGACACTTGTAACAATAGACAGCCTGCTATTGGATATTTTAAATTGCAATAGCCAATACCAGGCTGGCTATTGTACCCTCCTCCCCATTGCCTGCTGTCAATCAGCAGAGAGGACCTGATTGAGAACTTCGTCTTCAGTTCCCTCTTATGCTGATTGACAGCAGGCAGTGGGCGGGTACAATAGCCAGCCTGCTATTGGCTATTGCAATTTAAAATATCCAATAGCAGGCTGGCTATTGCTCCCAGCTACTGCCTGCTGTATTTACATTCAGTGAATCCAGTGAAGTAGGAAGGTGACACTAGAGGTCTAAAAGACCCCTAATGTCACCTTAAAGACTACCTGTCACCTCCAATGCACGCAGCACTGGTGAGAAACTGCCCTAAAATCATTAGTCTGTATTGTTTTATAAAAAATGTCACTTTAAGAAAAAGTATCGGTAATTGGTATCGGCAAGTACATGAGGGACAGTACTTGTACTTGGTCTTGAAAAAGTGGTATCGGGACATCCCTACTTTGCACACCTGGGCTGGTTCAGTGGAAGTTTCAGGAAGAACAACTTATGCTTCTGATTTCATCATTGCCCCTATAGAGGGAACAGAGTGGATTGCTCTTCCTAGTCTCATTGAGTGCAATCAGTTGCCTGACGACAGAGAGGAGATTCCTACATCAGAGGATGCACTTCGTGAACCTCACCTAAAACATTTAGCTGACTGCATCCCACGACATGACAACGATACCAAATTATGCTTCTTTTAAGCAGATACATCTTGAGAGTACACAAGGTACATCAGCAGCACAATGGGTGGAATGATGCTCCTTATGCCCAAAAGACTGATCTAGGTTGGGTACGTATTGGAATCAAACTCGAATGCAAACCTCAAGCCTCAGATGGTGTGTGCTCCAATAAAATTATTGTACAGGTAAACCAAGACTGTTGTAAAACACCACCCTGTAATAGTTCTGGTAAGACTACGCACCAGATTTCCTTCAACAG